TTGGTCCTCTACGTCTTTTCCACTCTCTTTTTAGCCAACTCCTCTTGTTTTTACACATGCTCCAGGCTTTTGAAAAGCGCTTGAAATCGAGTAGTTACTTTTCAGTAGAAATGTCTGCTTTCCATCCTCTCGATCCGTATAGAATGACATCGTCATTCAATGTACACAGAGCTTTACCGGCGACATCGAGCTTTTTCACGAAATCCGACACAAGCACAATGTGCCTCTTTACTGTTTCCTACTGGGGACACCGTCAGCTTTCTATCCAACCAGTCCCATCGAAATGTGTTTTTCAGATCCACATCTATCTGACGCACTTTAGCTTCGTCGCGAGTCTCGATAACATTCGGCATTCGCGAGAATGGGGTTTAGGAAGGCGAACACGGATTGGTTGTGATTTGCATTTGGCAATATAGCGACCAATCACAACAAGTAAGACATTGTTTTTAGCCCATATAGGAAGTATCAGCAAACTAACGCTTCGCGATAAAAAGCGGGATTCAAAATGGATGCTTGCAAACATTACTTGTAAACATTACGAGGCCCGAATCTGCCGAAGACAAGTCCGGACCCCCCCCCCACCACCCCCCAGAATTTTTTTTACGGATTTGGAACAATATAAAATAGGTCCATTTTGACAGGAAAAAAGCGGAATCCCGCCAAAACGCGGAAAAATTTCATCCCTGCAAAGCAAAGCAAAAGCCATTTATCATCACCACCCAGAAATGTCGTTGGCTTCTCTAGGCCTGAGTTCATCTAATATGGGGTGATGCAAAGTCGTAAAGTGTTCTTTTGGCTGACGAGTCCACATCTCAAATTGTTTTGGGGAATTGTGGCGAAAAGAACCATTCGGACTGGTATAGACGCAAAGTACCAAAAGCCAGCATCTATGATGGTATGGGGCTGCTTTGGGGTAACTTACACATCTGTAAAGGCACTATTTATGCTGAAAGGTACATACAGGTTTTGGACAAACATATGCTACCATCCAAGTAATGTCTTTTGCATGGATGCCCCTGCTTATTACAGGAAGACAATGTCATACCACATGCTGCATGTGTTAGGACAGCATGGCTTCGTTTTCCGATCCGCTTTATCCTCACAAGGGTCGCAGGGGATGCTGGAGCCTCTCCCAGACGTCTTCGGGCAGTAGGCGGGGAAGACCCTGAACCAGTTGCCAGCTAATTGCAGGGCACACAGAGACGAACAACCATCCTCGCTCACACTCACACCTCGGGACAATTTGGAGTGTTCAATCAGCCTGCCATGCATGTTTTCGGAATGTGGGAGG